AGGGAGGTTCGGGGAGCGAGGCCTCTGGCCCAGCGTGCTCGGCGCGGGGACGCAGGCCAGGAAGTAAGCCTCGAATTGTCTAGAACCCGGGCCTGACGTCACACGTGCCTCTGCGGAGAGTCCGGCTGACAGTACAAATTATTTTCCTGTGAAATTCAAGTAAAGGGGGATAAGTCCTTTCTCAAATGCTGCCGAAACCTCGGGGGAAAGTCGTGCAGGTTTGGGAGACGCATCCCAGCGCCGAGCCCAGGAACATGCCACACGGACCCTGAGGGGTTGTTGGCTTTTCTCTCCCGAACAGAAGTGTGAGCCAGTGGAAAGGCCGCTGCCCTCAGTCTGAGAAGTTTTCTTAGAAGAAACACAATGTTCTGGAACACAGAAGTGGAATGAAGAGAAGGGAGACTTGGTGGGGGGCCCGTTTTGTGGGCAGATGGACAACAGCGCGGGAGGTCACGGGGCACCTGGGGCCAGCGAGCTCGAGTGGCTGTCGGTGCTGGAAGCTCCCGGCACGGCTGACAGACTGTGGATTTAGAGGCTGGCTCCGCAGGTCCCCTCCGAGGGTGTGTTGCCCCCCAGCCAGCAGACCCCCCGGGGCTTGTCACCCCGGCATCCTTGGGGTGGACGTTCCAGATTGAGCCCAATATGTGGCAAGTGATGCTGTAAAGAAGGCCCCCTGTCCTGCACATCACCTGTCAGTTTGTGGGGTGCAAACTCCACCGGCAGAAAACAGAACGTCCACATACTCCAGCTGGCAAAATTGCGTCTGACTCCTGGGGGGGCAGGACCTCCAGTGGACAAGACTGTTAAGGGTGCCAGGGTAAATGTATTCAAAATTCGGGCCAATAAAATAACCGGGTATTCAGTTTGCTGCAGTAATTGCTACCAGCTGTGTTGTCTCGACCACATTCACGAAGGTAAGAAAACAAAGTTCTTGGCCACCTGTACTCGTAAAACTCACTTTTCCCTTATGCATTGGAAACTGCGATTTTGTTTCATATGCACATATTTTTAGCACAAAGTGTCAAGTATTGTCATTAGATTGCATAAAAGGGAATGGACATCTGGCTCACTGTTTTGTTGTTCCTTATTAAAGAGTCCAGGTGCGCTACACGGGTGAGGCAGGGAGAGGTGAATAAAGTAACACCTGACCGCACTCCCGCCCGCTGATGCGGGAACTGGGACGGTGTTCATCCTCTACAGGGCACAGTCAGGAGAGAAGCGGGTGCTTTACTGTGTCAGAAGGTGACGACCTCCTGGAGAAGCACAGCGACACACAGCGCGTCTGGGCGAGGTGGTGGCTATCACTTCACGCCGTGTGGTCGGGCGAGACCACGCTGGTGAAGTGTCCCTCGGGCTGGGGAGAGCCACAGGGTCGCGGGACGAAGCTGCCTGGGAAGCTGGCTGGGTCGGTTGGGAAGCTGGCGGGCACCGCAGACAACCATGGGGACACCTGCTGTTACTCTGATGACGTGGGAGGTGGCTGGAGGCTTTGGAGTCAGGAGAGCAGGCACTTTCATTGCTTCCCAGGGAAGTTGCCCAGTTTTGCCACAAGAAAACACAAGCCTGAAATGCAGGGCTTCTGGCCGGAGACCGCCGTCCAGCCGGGACCCTGTGGCCTTAAATTTCCCTGCTTCCTTCTGTGCTTGTTCGCAAGCTTCCTACGTTCAGGAGCTCATTCTGCAGTGTTGTTAAAACTCGGTGGCCCCCCTGGGCTTCAGAAGACACATGAAGTTGCAGCCAGCCATCACCTACAGCCTGGAAATCCTTGCGACTTGACTTTGCAAGTGGCTGAGAGAAAGGGTTGCTCTACTGCAACCTGCAGAGTCACCCAGCACGCGAGTGAGATGCAGCCTCCCTCACATATCAGTGGCACGCATGGTGATCGTGTCGTCCGTGTGAGTCGGCGCAGGATTTTTATCAGCGAGATGTGAACGTTGACTCCGTGCACGGTCTCTGTGTGTCTCGGCAAGTCAGTCGGTAATGACTGAGCCTGAGGAGAACTTTCTAAAATTCCTTTTATCTTGAACAAAACTATAAATAGACTGCTTTCTCATCACGGATCCTTGTGGCGAAAGTGGCGAGCAATACACGCGAAACGAGAGCCCCTTCTCAGAGTCTTCCTTCTCCCACCGTCATCAGGCTGAGGTGACTGCGGGTCCCCACCGGCCAGCGTGGCCTCCGGGCTTCCCTCCCGGGTCTGGAAGGAACGTCCTCCTTGTTTAAAAGACCCGAGTGTCAGTGCAGGGCCCTGCAGGAAGCTGAGGTGTGAGGGCACCGAGGCCCCCATCATCTACCCCACCGTCCTTCCTGTTTGAAGATGTCTAATGGAAGAGAGAAAAAAAGGAGAAGGGGGAAATGGTTTCCACGTGGTGGAACCCGGGACTCCATGGGAGATAAGCTTCAGAGTCCACACTCCCAACGAGTTGGGGGATGCCCTTTACCCCCTGTCAGAGGCAGGGCGGGGGCTCGGGGACCAGGCCAGAGGCAGAGGCCCCAGGAGAAGCATGGGAGTCATCCGCCTCTGACGACTGCCGAGCTCCTTCCCATAAGGTGTTTGACCCAGAAAAGCAAGAATGAGGACGATGTGGGCCCCGAGGGGCCAGTGGCCTTGGTTTCTCCTTCCTGGACAAATCCCTTTCCTGTCCCTGTCCTTCTCCCTCACTGGGCGCAACCTCTCGTGGACCCAGGGGAGGCCACACCTGGGCTCGGAGCCGCCAGCATGGGGCCTTCTGTGTAAACACAGGAGTGGGGGGGGGCTCTCCAGCTTGGCCAGGTGGCAGGAAGCGGAGCGTGGAGCCGCTTTATAGGCAGGAGGGCCCCGCGGGCAGCCGCGCAAGTCCGGAGGGTGACCTGCCCCGCGGCCGCTCTGCCTGCACAGAGGAGGAAGGTCAGGCAGCCGGACTTGATGTCTTTCTCCTGAGAGGAAACCAACATCTAAACTTGCAAGGTGGTCCAGGAGAGGGTGCCCGTCAGGTCTGGGGCAAACCCGGGAGGCGGGGCTGGCAGGGCGCCAGATGGGGACCGTCAGGCTCGGTGACCTCAGTGCTGTGAGCTCGGCCGCAGGTGCTGCCCGGTCCCTCTCCTGCAACCACCGACCCTGTTCAACATGGCAGGTGGCCCAGAAACAGTGACTGGAAGCCGGGGGCAGGGGCGGGGGGTAGCAGAAGAAAGACTCGGAAAGCAGGAAGGGCCGATTTTGAAGCTGTTGCTTCGTCTCAGCAGCTCTGCAATTCTGAACTCACTTCACAAGCAGGAGACGAATGTTGCAGGAAATCCTGCATGCATTTAGGAAGTTTGTTTACCTCTTTTATAAAGGCTAAACTCCTGGTATTAGTCATTTTTTTCTACATAGATGTGCTATGGAAAATAGATTTGTGTTATTCCCAGAAATTTTGCAGCCTTTGGCATCACCACGAATTACAGTAAGTTGTCACTGAGCTATTCGGGTGACCGCAGCTGCCAGAGAGGGCAGCTCTGCTCCCGAGGCTCTGGGGCACGTATGGCCTGTCCACACCGCAGTCGGGTCAGAAGCTCAGCTCCAGACTGGGCTTGGAAGGACAGCAGCCTCGCAGAGACGTGCGTGCAGAGTCCGTGGACAAACTCTAGCCACGGTTCTTGTCCACCGCGGACTTGACTGCTGAGGCCCGCCTCCGTGTCCCCTTCAGGATGGGGGCGCGAGCCGTCCTGGGCGTCACGCTGGCGGTGGCCTGCACCGGAGGCTTCTTCTCTCTCCTCCTGAGACACGAGGACCTCTTTTGGGGTGAGTAACCACACACGGCACTCTTCTGCTCTCATAAAGTTCCTGCTCTCAGCTAGCAAAACAGAAAGCGTGGCGGGCGTCCCAGAGCGTCTGTTCAACCCCTTCCGTGTTCTGTTTCCCTTTCCAAGAAAAGGCTAATAATTCTTGAGTTTAGAAGGATTAAAATGCAATTCTTTCTGAAAAATAACTGATTCTCCTATGCTCACACTGTAGAAAATTTCCGTTGTTACCTGCTGGTGTATTTGAAAAAAAGTCTTTGGGCGTAGCTGTTTGTTCCTTTACTACAAAATCATTTTTCATTAACAAACTTCTGTGCTGTATTTTCTGGGTCGAGGCAGCTACAGCTTCAGGTTCAGTTACTAAGGGTGAGGCGCTACTGGGGCCGAAGCACTCGTAGCTCAAACTCTGCTCTTCTTTTGCTTAAAACAACAAAAGAAAGAAAAGTCCCAAACAAGGAGAAGGAATTTCACTGAAGCAGAACATGGGAGGGCGTTTCGTGGACGCCGTCTGGCCTCCGGCCCCTGGAAAAAAACCTCGCCGGGCAGGCTCGCCCCTCTGGGTGGTCAGGGCTGGACGCTCTGCTCTCGGCCTCTCCTCGGAACCCCGGCCCCGCGGTCACCCTCCAGGCCTGGCCAGCAGCCCGACCCTGCAGCCACGTCCACACCAGCAGGGCTTCCTGCGGGGGCCACAGTTTCTCCAGTTCCCTGAGTGTGGGCCTTTGTGCTCGTATTAACCATTGCACCAAAGTGCTTCAGAGTCACGTGCTCCTAAGAAGGCGACCTCACCATGGAGGCCACGAGGAGGCCGGGGTCAAGCCTGGAGGCAGGTCTGCCCCGTCCCCGCTCACTCCCGACTGGGCCGCTTTCCTGTCAGCAAAACGGAGAAAACCGGGAGGTTACCCACCACAGTTCAGACTGTGAGGGCCAGCGAGGAGCTCCCTGGAGGCGCCGCGTGCATGGCGCCTGGACGGCGTGTGCTGAGCCACGTCCCCTTAAATGACCTCCAGCAAAGTGGTTCCCCTCCTCCCACCCCCGAAACACATCGTCCTGGTACCTGACGCAGCGTGAGGTTCAGCAAACGTTTTGTGGATTAATAGTCATTTCATTTCCTGCTGATTAAAGTCCTCGTTCTCCAAAACCACAGGAACAGAGCTGCCATGGTCACGAGCTGTTCAGCAGAACACGAGCACAGCCGCACCTCGAACGTTTCGTCTGGGAGGCGTCACGTCCTCCTTGAAGACTGGGAACCGTAGTACCTACAGCTCTGCTAGAGCAGTCTTTGTTATTTCCCCTTTTCTAAGAGGTCCTTCCCTCAAACTTCAGTATAAATATAAACGGGGCTCGCTCCTCGGCTCTTTGGTTAAGACCAAGGACACGTACAAACTGCACGAAGCGGCGTCTGACCGCGTGCCGCACTTCGGAGCCTAATTTACGATCCGTCAGAATATTTTGCACTTGGCTTAGAGCTTGTTTACTTCGCAAATTACTTGTTTAGAAAATTTTATTAATTTCATAGCATTTCAATTTCACAGCGTTACTGCAACGATGCTTCTTCCCAGTTGACAAGCCAACAGTCATTTGAAGCAAAATAATTACTCACGGGTGACTTTTC